GGAAATTGGAATTCCGTTCATTAATTGATTAAGCTTATTCCTTTCTATCTTTTTCAGTCCAAAACTGATACTTGGGTCTCAATCAACAATGACTGCCATGCGCTTTGAATTCAATAATCCTGATGAAGTGAACACTTCACATTCTCTTCCATTCCAGTTAGCCATTCTGATGGTAAAAATTTCAATTAATCTGCTGACCATCTCACCTTAATTGTGGCAGGGCTAGCTTACCCTCTAATCATTTCATATCGTATAACCAAAAATATTTATCTAATTTTGTAGATTCACAATCAACATGGTCATTGGCTGTGTACATAAAATAGTTAATAGATACGAGGACTGTGTATTTGGACTTTGTTATAATTGAACATTTTGATCTTGCCTTTTCCGTTTGAATATGTAAAAACTCCATAGAAAATTATGGGCAATCAATGTTGACTCAATCTCCATATGTTTGAAATGCAAGTCAAGTACCCTAATTTGAACTTCTGGAAGTGCATACTAGTTGTGATGTAGTAGGGACAACAATATATGAAGCAAACAACAATTTTGTCAAACAAGGTTTCATCAATTGGGCATTAGACACCAATTCATTTCGGATAATACTCAGGTACTCACATTTTAATTTTGTCCAATGATATTTTGAATTATTTTATTGTTTTGAAAAATAATGGACATGTTATTTAATTTTTCTTGGCCTTTTAAAAAAAGAAACATGTGACATGTTTTTTATTGAATCAAGTCAGAAAGTGAGTACATCAATACTCACTAGTGAGTATCTTGGTATTATCCGTTCATTTCATCGCCATCAGTGTACTAATTAACCTCAATAAATTACATTCATACTATTTCATAAAAACTTTAGTTGTGAGGACTCTCAACTGAACAGTTTATACATGAAATCACTATAACAAATTGGTCTTTTAGTGAGGAAATCTCTAGCGAGGAAACTTACTTTTCTCGCTATACAATACTTTTTGCAATGATATTATTTGGTCTTTACAAAAACAGACCCAATTTTGATTACAAAACTTGTCCTTGCTCTAGCGAGAAATTCAAATATTTTGCAAAAAAACATTTCCTCACTGTAGATGGACTCTTAGCGTGGTAATCTATCTTTACTCACTATACCGAGTAAAAGTTTTAAAGTTTAACAAAATGGAAACTTTGAGCGAGAAATTTTTTTTCTTGCTAAAACATCTATTTTGTTGTAGTGAATGCACAATTGGATTCACATACATCAACAATAAGTAATTCATCATGGGCGTGCAGGTAGAAGACTATGCATAATTAACACCTTTCCAAAAGTGTTAATTACACTCAATATGCTTGTGGTATATGTGTGGGAGTTTAGGTTAATTGTTGGTCGTGCAAATTTCCTTCAAGATCAAGAAATTTGTCACACAAGATGAAATGAAGTCAGATTTAATTATATTGGTATCATTGTCTTTGTTAATAGACTTGGGGGGCGTCTGTTGCGCCGGATTATCTCGGACTAGATTAGCTTCAAGGACTAAGTTGGACTGGCTTAGACTAGACTAAACTGGACTAACTTAGTGAAGCGTTTGGTGCAGTATTGGACTAAGAAGCTAGATAATAACAAACTCTAATATTATATTATTTAATATATAAATTATTAATATTTTATTATGATCTTCTCTAATTCTTCATCTTTTCCTACCATTTCCGTCCCACTCTTTTCCTCTTCTCTCATCGTCCCACCCTCTCCCTCGTTTTTTCCTCTTAGACCTCTCAATTCATGTCTCTTTCTCATTCCTGGTCAAACTCCTTATTGATTCCAGTCTCTATTTCTCTGTCCTCCCTCCCTCTCTAGCTATGCGTTGTTCGAATGAGACCACACGACTCCAATTTTCCTGACGAGTTGCAGGTTTCCCGATGTGTTTTCTGGCCAACCCTCATTAAATTAGATGCAGTTAGCACCGCCAAAAAATTCATCACCATCCCTGGACTGAGATCTTAGCTTTGAATGCTCGAATCTGTCATGGATTTAAAGAAGCCCAAACAGGCCGAGACTTCCAGGCCATTTTCCAGCCACATTCGACCACATTTTGGCCTCGATTCAGGTAAAATCGTAATCTTGTCACACCCAACTTCAATTTGATATATTTTATATGAAAGTTGGTTGTGAAATGGATCTGAAAGAGAGTCGAAAAGTTAATGATTAATCTAGATGACCGGAGATGACGAGGAGTCTGTCGGGAGTGGTCGTTGAGCATGACGAAGATGAGAAAGAGAGGATAGTCTTAGCTAGTCCCATGGTTATTGGGGGGTCTCGCTAAGACCTCTTAGTGAAGGGTTTTGTCCATGCTAGTCCCATTTAGTCTCATTAATGTTAGTCCCAACATGGAACAAACACAGTATTGGACTAATAGCTAGTCCAGTCCAGTCCAGTCCAACTTAGTGAGGGCAAACAAACACCCCATTAGGGTGTTATTAGGTCTTTGTCACATAAATGCATTTGTTTTCTCCTTTAGATTTTCAAATTTGGCGTGACCTATAGATATGAAGAAATTCATTGAACTACAAAAAACACCGGGATTTGTCGGGCCATATACTGTTTCGTCACCTATAATTTTGCTCGTCAAAAATTTGTGGGTCAAAGTTCGTCATGCAAAACCCGTTGCTCAAATGTCCACCTGACAAAATATCAGCATTTGTCTAGCAAACACTGTTGACCAGACTAAATAAAGTCATCCGGCAAAAGAGCATTGACCGACCTGACCTGACAAATATAGCTTGTTTGACAACAAAAATTTTGTTGAGTTTCTGAAAACAAAGTAATAATAAAAAATTTAGCTCAACGCATATTAGTCAAGCAATTATTTAAAAAGAAAAAAATACAATAAAAGTCTACTCGACGAATATATTCGTTGGGCAAAGCTTTTAAATATATTTTTTTAATTCAAAATTTAAAAAAAATATTTGATTTAAATAATGTATTAATTCTAATTATATTAGTCTAAAAGGCTAAAATAAATCACAACATTAAAGAAATTAATTTAATTACATAAAAAAAATATTCGTACAATTGTATGTAACAAAAAAACTAAGTACAACTACTGGAGTTACTGCTGAGGTGGCTAGTGGAATGGCTTCTAAAGGTCGCTTGGAGGATTGGAAATGCAAATGCTAGAAGCTGACATTGCTTGCGCTATCCTAACAATGTACCAAAGGCTCTCCTCTCGTCGACGCACTATTTCTTGCTCATGTGGAGCTTCTTCTTTATGGCTCACTAGCTCCGTCTCCAACTGTTTGCAGTTTGGAAGACGTCTTGCTTGGAGGATGAGAGCTAGATTAATAACAAGTTTCCCCAAGGTCCTAAACCTAACCCACTCCTAGGATGCCGAATTCTTTGCCTTTCTGTTCGCCAACCACATCCATCACCATAAAGCAGATGGTTCTATTGACCGGTACAAAGTCAGATTAGTTGCTAAGGGTTATACTCAAACCTATGGGGTGGATTATCAGGAGACTTTTGCTCCTGTTACCAAACTTAATATTGTGCATGTTCTTCTATCCTTAGCAGTAAACCAAGATTGGCCTCTATTGCAGTTTGATGTTAAGAATGTTTTCCTTCATGGTGATCTTAAGGAGGAAGTTTATATGGATCTCCTACCTAGTATCGGAATATCTCCTGAAAAAGGTGTTGTGTGCAGATTGCAAAAGGCTTTGTATGGTTTGAAACAATCTCCTAGAGTGTGGTTTGGGAGGTTTACAAGTTCAATGAAGAAGTTTGGGTATGTCCAAAGTCATTCAAATCATACTTTGTTTCTAAAGTGACAAAATGGTAAGCTAATTGCATTGATTATTTATGTTGATGACATGATAGTGCTTGGTGATGATTAGAAGGAGATACAATGCCTTCAAAAGTACCTAGCTACTAAATTTGAGATGAAAGAATTGGGTGAATTAAAGTATTTTCTTGGAATCGAGGTTGCACGATCCAAGCATGGTATTTTTTTTGTCTCAACGGAGGTATGTTCTTGATTTGTTAACGGAAACAGGCATGTTAGATTGCAAACCTATTATACTCCGATTGAGCATAATCATCATCTAGGCTTATTTTCAGATCAAGTTCCTACTCATAAGGAACAGTATCAGAGGCTTGTGGGGAGATTAATTTACTTGTCTCACACTCGCCTTGACATTGCTTATGCAGTTAGTGTGGTAAGTCAGTTTATGTAGTCACCTAGTGAAGCTCATATAGATGCAGTACTCCATATTTTGAGGTACTTGAAGATGGCTCCTGGCAGAGGCTTGGTTTTCTCCAAGAATGGTCATTTTAATGTCGAAGGGTATACAGATGCAGATTGGGCAAGTTCTATCACTGACAGGCGATCTACATCTGGATACTTTACGTTTGTGGTTGGTAATTTAGTTACTTGGAGAAGCAAGAAACAAAAGGTGGTGGCTAGGTCAAGTGCTAAAGCTAAGTTTCATGGTATGTCTAATGGTGTATGTGAATTGTTGTGGTTGAAAAAATTGTTGAGAGATCTTGGATTTAAACCCAAAGGTGCTATAAAACTTCATTTTGATAACAAGGCTACTATTGAGATTGCTCATAATCCAGTGCAACATGATCGAATAAAACATGAGGAGATTGATCGACATTTCATCAAGGTAAAATTGGATGCTGGAATTATTATGTTTCCGTTTGTGATATCTGAAGATCAACTCGCAGATGTGCTTACTAAGGCTGTGTCTAATAGTGTGTTTTCCATCTCACTTGACAAGTTAGGCATGTGTGACATCTTTGCTCCAACTTTAGGAGGAGTGTTGCAAGTTATATATTAGTTAAAGTATAAATAGTAATATGTTGTCCCACATTGGCGAAGTCTATATGTAATACCAATTATATCTCCTATATATACTCCACTTTGGAGATTAATGAATATACAAAAAAATTTCCAAATATTATCATATATATTTTTTGTTTAACTAGTGTACTGCATGCTTTTACATGTCGTGTGCGTGAGAGAGAGAGAGAGAGAGAGAGAGAGAGTAATTGAAAGACAGTGATTTATGTATTTAACTTGACAGCTTGAATTGGCATCATACATTGTTGAATGACCCTCCACGTCCGGTCATTCAAAAACAGAACAGCAAATTGTTGCATATTCCAGATGGGAAGGAGTTGAGTTTGAATCCGATACCTTCATCCAATTTCACCAGGATGAGCTGCACTTCCTTGCCATACACAAGACTCACCTTGCAGTATATGAAACCAAAGAACTAGCATGCGCTCAGAAGGTTTCTCTCTGTCTCTCTCTCTAGAAACGCTTCTTGAAAATATAACACTTCTTCTCATAAGCTCTTTTATTGGAAGTGCTTTCACGTCGAAAGTTTTTAGTGAAAAACCAAGTGCTTCCTGAAACAGCACTTGAATTGCTCCTAAAAGACAAGAAGCACTTTTAAATTTTTCTAACATTGTCAAAAACATTTTTTGGTTATCTGAAAGCGTCCCAAGACTTTCATTTGTGTTTGCAGTGGGTTCCAAGTTTTTCTGCAGATATTTCTCATGCAACATACTCAGGTGATAGCCTGACGGTACATGCCAGCTTTTTTTATGGAACTATAGCCATACTTGGTGCTTCAACTGTTGAACTACGTTGTCAAATCAATCCCTCCGATCACCTTCCTGCTGATATAAGGTAATACCGGTTGCATCATTTGATGAATAAAACTCGGTGAACTTTGACGACACTTGACCCCAAATTCGAGCGTTTTTGTAGAATGTCGCATAATCTCCCTTCCGATTTTAGTTAAAATTTGAGATTTCCGTTCAAAAGTTGCACATTAAATCATTTCATGGGTATTTTTGTTATGCGGGTGAGCCTCATGTGCAACTTTTCAATTATGTTTGAAAGGAAATCGTGAATTTGACTAGGATTTGCATGGGCATAACCAACACTTTTTCACCACACGAGTCATCTTCACACCTATCAATGCTGCTTCAACCCGTAACTGCCAACCCCAACCACCACGCTCGGTTTCTGCTCAATCAACACCCTAAATGATCAGTTTGGCTTACCAGTTCTGTCCATTTTCATCTTGGAGCAACTACACAGATCTACAATGGTGGGTGCTGGGTCTGAGGCGGAGGTCGGAGGATGTCAATATATGAACTTGACTGCATTTCAGCCGTATCGCTGTCATTAGGAGAAATGATGACAACCTAAGACATAATCTGATGACACTAAATATAAGAAATCAGAGGGCAATCCATTAATAGTATCAATCTACAAGCAGGGGCACGGTAACCCTATGATTCGTGAATGCTTATTTACTTGAGTTGAACAGTACAATGAATTCGATGAAAATCAAATTGCTGAAGATAATACATCTTTCAAGCATCTACCTTTGCTGCCGCAGATGCATAACTTACGCTGCTGTCCCTCGTAGTTTTGCACTGGCTTGACTGCTCGTATCGGAGAAAATTGATCTTTATGTTTATTGGGCAATTCCTCAGCATCTGAATACATCGAGAAACATAGTACAAGAAATTATGAGCACTGATCAATGAAGAAACATTTTGTAGTCTAGGTAAATTAAGCTCAATTCTTCAAAAAAAGGCTTCTAACATTTTCCGTCTCATCGTGATTTTGGTGACTTCAGTACACTATGTTAATATCAAAAGGGTAAGTGCTACACATAACAGGGATATCTTTAGGTTGCTTTCGTTATAGTATTGTACTTTTTTATTACTGAGTCCCAAGAATATCTTTTATTTGCATACAGACAAAATGGTATAAAGGTCAATAAGACAGGAATGACACTGGTACTATTTAATGATAGGCATAGCCTTTCTAACTGAAAACACCAATGTAATCTAAAACAGGTCCAAAATCGCCGACATAATGTTTCTCAGAGTTTTACCCTGTTTTATTTAGGGTGCCACATTCTTGTATTGGTTAATGTCCTTTGACAAAGTTGCAAGAATACTATTTGAACTTGTTCCCCTTCAGACATTAGAGGGAATACTTGAGGCACTTACATGCAGAAAAACGCTAATTGGGTGGCGCCCACAAATGGTGTTATCAAACTCTGACAGATATTGCTTGAACGCATCTGGATTTCCAGTTTCTATTATATCCATCCCCATCCTGTCCAAAGCCTCAATAGATTTGTGTATGGCACCATGTTTCTTGTCATAGTGCATGTATTTGAACCTGAGAGAGAATAACAAGGTCAGCCACGGTCAACAAGTAACAGTCTGGCTTCAATTATATGAGCACAAAAGCATGGCAAGATAAGAGAATTAGCAAAACATTCAAATATCATGTAACATAACAATGGATACCATGACACAGCATCCATGAAGAAATATTTAAACCGAATCCAAGCACTTCTTTATTTTCCTTAGAACAAGGACCAAACAAAATATAAGCTTTAACTGTCCTTCTGTAAAAATAAAAAAATAATAAAAATATATAAAAATATAAAAAAAGTTGTCTTTGTGTTTGTGAATGAATGTTTGCACGCTCTTGCGCGCACGCGCAGGGGGGGTGTGGATGAGAGAGACACAGAGAGAGAGAGAGAGATGCATAGCATAATGCATATTGCAGAAGATGCACTGATATCTTGGACAAAAATAGCAGTCACTTTAGATAACAATGCCAATACTCGTATATAGAACCATGAGTGGAACATACCGAGACCCCCAATGACAAAAATCTGATGACACAGAGAAGAAGTTTTGTGGATCATCCACATATTTCGCAAGGAACTGTCCATACATGGCTTCACTTTCAGCTTTAAGAGCACCAACCAAAATGGGTACAACTTTAACTTGGTGCCTGCATCAGTATCGTAAAAAAGTCAGCCACACCAAAGAGGATTACAGAATAGAAATGCCATATAAAAACAATAAATAAAAATATATAGAACAAACATACCCCTCAAACACTTTAGCAAGATATGGCAAGTGCATTTCCATGCTATGTTCAGCCTCATCAACGATAATATCCATCAGTTCAAATTTTCCAGAAGCTTTAAGCTCCTCAATCACTGATAAGTGAAAACAAACAGAATTTGAGAAAACCGCCACAAAAACTCAGGAAAGTAGTTAACTCCTGTAAAATGAAACATGTGATATTTTCATTGTTATGTTGTTACTAGGTAGGTACTGGTTAAAATGGGAAAAACAGAAAGGAGCACGGACAATAGACATGACTCTGTACATTTCATGATCAGGTCATGCTGCGTTGATCACTAAAGGTGTATACTGTAATTTAACGACGAGATCACATTACCTTCCAAATCAATAGGTAGGTCCCCAATGGGGGTCTTGTACACCGTGGCTGTCGAAAGAGCACACTTTGAAGTGTAATGGTGGTGAGATGGACCGAGCAGGAACACCCGCGTACTGAAAAGGAAAGTCAGTTATCTCACAATTTGCAACAACTGGACAGCTAATTTTCCATACTAATCAAGCTTTACAGGTTCGATTAGGAGTCAACGCACAATTATCTGAACATAATCAGCTCATTTTTATGCACAACATGATCAAAAAAGTATTAGAGAAGTAACAAAGACAACTTACATGTTTGTTGGGTCAATGTTGCCAAATGCATAGGCAGCGGCACGGCCCGAATATGAATACCCTGCGTGCCTTTAATCCCAGAGCCACCCAGCGAAATAAATTCCACCAAAATAAACGTAAATAAATAAGTTTAGTTTTCAACTAATTAGTGGGTAAACAAGAAAGAAGCAGAAGCAGGAAATATGAACTTACGGAGCAATGACACCTCGAACATGAGGAGATTTAGTGAGCCCAGATGCTCTCAGCCATCCTTCAATCTCTTCTGATAACTTCTTAGCTGAAAAATCAAAACTTTAAGCTCAAAAATGCGTATTTAAGTATACATGTATATTACACAAACTGATCGGATGAATTAATTTTCTCAAAAGCAGGCCATATTTGATGAATTTTTAGTTTTGCTGCCGACCCACATCACTAACTCGGCTTGTTGTATTCAAAGAGGCCAAAAAATGAATCAGAGGGGTGTTATTTTCTCGGGAACCAAACAGAAACTGAGAGAGAGACTGACCATTGTCGGTGTACCAAGAACCAGCGTGCGATGCTCTTCTGACTTTCTCCATGGATGGAATTTGGGAGAATCAACGAAACCCTAATCAGGTGCAAAGCATGAAGTTAAAACTGAGAGTGAGAGACACAGACGAGACGAGATGCCTTTTGTTACGGGAGGAGACAGCATCTGGGAGTTGGACCGTGATCGGTATGCGGATAATACTCTCATTAAAAAAATTAGTGGGATATGTAAGCTAAAAAATTAATAACTTAAAAAATTAAATTTCTTTCAATTCTTATTAAAACACATGATGTACCACTTGTGTTCCCGTCATAACTAAAAATTTCTTCTTGTGGTGGGTGTGGTGACGTCTTGTTACTCAATTCGAGTACGCTTTCGCATAGCATGTTTAAATAATGCAAAATCATGACAGCCTAGTGATATTCCTTCACTTGTTAGTGAGAGACATTGGATTCAACTTTCGCCAAATGTGAGCTTAAACTATATTATTACTAACCTATTGTCAGGCTAAACTCACTTCTTAATTTAGTGTAAATAATATAATTTGATAAAAAAATAATAATAATACAATATCATAAATAGTAAGTTTTTAGTTTGTCTATTCATGACGTTATATTATTTATTAATCAAAATGTCACATAATAATAACTTGTTTTTTTTAAGTTGTTCTCGTATGTTCAATTCAAATCTTCTCAATAGTTTAAATTAATTTGTTTGAAGCCATACTTCAAATTAACTTAATATAAACTATTTTGCTTGAAACAAATTTCAAACTTAAACACATTCCAAGCCATGTTATATTACCATGTTTTTCTAACTGTACCAAGAATTTGGAGTAGAATTTCCAAAGTGACTAAATTGTTCCAGGACTTGGCATAGTACAAGAGATATAGGTAGAACTCACATGAGGCTGAATCAAATTAGGGCCAAAACTTTTAAATTTATATTTCTCATCGTGTGATTGTGTAGGCACAATGCTGGCTACCAAAATACACCCAAAGGTTTTTTAACTGTCGATTATTCCTTAGGTGGACTGGTACTAAAGCGTGGGTTTTCCTTCTACGCACAAGGAGCATCACATGCACCGGAATACTTGGCCATTGCATCCTTGGCCGCACATCCATGCCCTTATTCCTCTGGTGCATGTCATACGCAAGAACATAGTAAAATTTTCGTATCTCTTGTACTCCCACGAGAATAAATATGGATAAATAGAGAGGTAAAATAATAAAAGATTTCACTGCTATTATATAACAATCACAAAACCTTGCAAGTATACAAGAATTGCAACTTGCAAATATGACACTATTGATAAACAACAACAAACCTGGCCGAGTAGGCTGAGTAAGTAACAAGCAAAATAATGTTACCAACTTCCCACTTTGCTTATTCTTTTCAATGAACCAATCCAATCAATCATATACCCTATATCCCAAGAAGCTTACAACAATCGAAACAAATGAGATCGGCGCCTTTGCGACCCAACGCACTCGAATTCAAAACCAACGCAAACTTTCTGTTTGCCCCTGTAGCAAACAAGAAGGTGAACGAACAGTCCACTGACAGAAAAGAAAATAAAAAGACCTGCAATCACCAGAAAGAAAAAAACAGAGAGATTATGTTTCGTTCAGTCCAGTCATACTCGTATGTGCACTGAGCATGACGATTCAAAGAATTATGAAATGATAATAAAAACCAACCATTTAATGATTCGTAAAGTAAGGACCCGTTTGATAATCATTTCGTGTTTAGTGTTTAGTTTTCCCTTTTCGT